GTGTGTTTCCATATGATCGCAGACGATCGCAGAACTTTTTGCGATCTGCGATCCGCGATCCGCGATCGTCTGCGATCATATGGAAACCAGCCTTAACTTGGAAACAGGGTTTTTAAAATCTAAACAGTAGTGCTCGAAGAGTAGATAAACATTGCGGCTGCTTAGGTGTGCAAATGTTTCTAAAATTATCTTCCAGTAAAATTTAAAGTTTTACCAGCCAGTTGTTGAAAATTTAATTTATCTTCCCGCTAGAAGAATAGCTTACAATTATTCCACTTTGGCGTATTGGAATGGTTTTTTTTTTTTACAAAAAACACTTCCTTCTTTCGGATTTGGCCCTTCCATTATCCAACGGTTTAAAACCAATTACAACAACAATAAAAACACGCATAGCTGCATGTATTATACACAAAAGCTGGTCAAGCAACTGCCAAGGGTGTCCTCTCCACCTTTTCCTTGCCTTTCTCCAGAAGAATCACATTTACAAGGATGTGAAAAAATTATCGTTTAAAAAACATACGACTGAGTCGCAACCCTGTATAGAGAAAGAATGAGGAGTGAATTACTCTAGGTTTTTAAAGAAAATACCCGTATGGTTTAAAAAGATGAGATAAGAAGTTCTTGTTCGATCAGACCTGTAATCTAATGTCTCTTGAAATGTTCCTGAGACCAAGAAGAATACCCCTGGGGTTCAGACAGATAAGGTAAGAGGTTCTTCAAGGCCACTAGATTTGAGTCGCGCCCTCGATATGATCCTTCACCTTATGTCTCCATTAGTGATATATTGAAAATATCCCTGGATCAAGAGAATACCCCTGGAGTTCAGAGAGAAGGTAAACTGGGGTTGGGTTATTTTCCAGTAGATTTGCGTTGCGGACTTCGATATGATCAATCACCTTATGTCTCCATTAGCGATAAATTGAAAATATCCCTGGATCAAGAGAATACCCCTGGGGTTCAGACAGAAGGTAAGCTGGGGGGGGGGGGAGGTTCTTCAAGGCCAGTAGATCTGAGTTGCGGACTTCGATAAGATCTGTCAGCTTTTAGAATATCCCTGGGATCAACAGAACACCCCTGGCGTTCAAAGAGATGGCGTAAGAGGTTCTTCAATGCCGGCGGGTTTGTGTTGAGGTCTTTCATCAGACGCGTCCTCCAATGTTTCGAGTGTTGGTCGTCCGAGAGTCTCAGGAAGAATGCCACATAAACATCCGGCGATAAATGCGAAGCCACTCATCATAGCAAATGGAATTACCGGGTGGGTTTTGTCCTGAAAGAAATCATAGCAAAAATTTACGGGACAAACTTTAAACAGTTTAGCGGAGCTTATCCAAGGACGGTAAACACTTGGGAAATTTTAGCCTGGAACCTAATTATTTCACTGCTTTTCGTGTTTCATAAAATAGTGCAACTCCAGACTCCCATATTACAAAAAAAAAAAAAAAAAAAAAAAACAATTCTCTTCATTTGCTCCGACGAAGGACTGATCCTCAAAACTTCAGCGGCTAACTAAGGCTCCGTCCACACTGCGCCAGAGGAATTTGAAAATCGAGGTTTCACTCTGAAAACGCATCAAATGTTTTCCGTCCACACTACGCTGGAGGGATTTGAAAACGGAGGCTTCACTCTGAAAACGCATCAAATGTTTTCCGTCCACACTACGCTGGAGGGATTTGAAAACGGAGGCTTCACTCTGAGAACGCATCAAATGTTCTCTGTCTACACCACTCCGGAGGAATTTAAAAACGCAACAATAACTGGTCATCTCGGATTTGTGTTTATGGAAAACTCGGGCAGAGAAATGATACGACTGTCATGACGCCTTCGTTTAATTCGAAAAGCTCCGTGTACAAAATGTTTTCCGTCCATACGAGAACGAAGAGCCGGCGTTTTTAAATTCCTCCGGTTTGAAGAACGTTTTCGGAAAGCTCCGTTTTCGTGACGGATTAGTGTGGACGGTAAGCCTAACCGTAGAAATAAAGCTGCGTTTTTAAATTTCTCCGGCGTAGTGTGGACGCGCCTAAGTCCAAGCACCGCGCTCAACTACGGACTAAAAACTCCGTGCGGCAGTCCCTCTATTCCACAGTTCCTCGCAGGAAAAACGCCGAAGAGAACTGAGACCGCTCATACTTTAGCCATTTCTTTCCAAGCTAATCTTCACAATTTTGTTTTTTCGTAAAGGTGCACCGTAGCTATAAGTAAACGATCAATCCCTCACCAGTAAAACAACAAACGGAGCAATACTGGCACCGGTTTGATCAAACGCCGCCATGCTTCCCATTCCGACGTTCCTACGAAAAAAAAAGAAAATTTTGAGCTTCCTCCATTGCCTAACAAGTTAACCAAACGGAATCAGATCCACATACAACATACCTAAGGCCAGTTCCAAACGTCGTGCTACTGCCGTGCCAAACTAAAGATAAGAATTAAATTTGACTTAAGCAAGGCAGTAGCATGGGCGTTTGACACCAATCAGTTTGGAAGGCTGAATTAAGTTCGGCACGACTCCTTAGCACGGCAGGCCTTGACGTACCGCAAGGCAGTAGCGCGACGTAGCTTTCAACAGCGTTCTCTTGCAATGCCGAACTGAATTCATAGCCTGCTACATCAGCTGCCGTTGTTTTCTAGCCTTTAAAATGGTCTTCAGCAAAGCAAACTTCTTTCGATCTTGGGCGTGATTGAATTGAATTTAACGTTTCAAACCACTACCGTTCTTTGTCATGCCACTGCCTGGCCAAATTCATTTGAGTTCCGCACGGCAGTAGCACGACGTCTGGACTAGGCCTTAATATTCAGAGAAAAATTAAAATAAAATCTGCTAACCAACCTGATGACTGTTGGAAGAAGTTCTGTTGAGAACACATAGATTGTACTGAACGATGCGTTTATGCAGAACTTCCCAAGAACTGCGAAAATGACACGAAGAGCTGTGGCACCTGGAAGGAAAACAGACCGACATTATACAACAGAGACTTGAATTGATGACGCACTGAAGTAAGAGATTGTAATTACTGACATTTTATAAGGGCAATGTGACTGATTGAGGGTTTGGCGGAATGCGGGATGAGAGAAAAATGAAGGCGGGACACGGGATGACAGGGCCTTTAGTGTTGAGATGCGGGATACAAATATTTCGGCGGGAACGGGATTTGTTAATTTTGACAGACGGGATGCGGGATAGTTTTAAATGGACGGCGGGGTGTAGGATAAAAAAAGGAAAATCACACGTTTACTTACGATACGCGAACTGCGACTCTAACCGGGCGAGAGCGAGATAAATATTCTGACTGGGGCGGGATGACAGGATTGAGTCAAAAGCAGTGGCGGGATGCGGGATTCTTTTTTTCAGTGGAAGCCTTTAGGAAGCGAAAATGACTGACCATGGCAGGGGTGGAAATAGAATGCATGGAACATGGACAAACTTGAAAGTTTGCAGTGAAGCTCAACTATATCGACAACGTCTTGATCATACCTTTGTCTGAGTCAGAAGCTGGGGGACTAACAGACACAATGACACAGAAGATTGCTGCCAGAGACATACAAAGAGTCAAAGCTCTCTTCCTGCCGTAAAAATTGTGACACAAAAATCTTTTTTGCCTACAGAAATAATAAAAAAAAAAATCAAACAAATTAACAGCTTTCACCTAGAAAGTGAGTATGGAGTCTGTAATTACTGTAAAAGTAGTCAGCTAATGCACTGTGACAGTCACATACGTGTGTACACGTATTCGCAGCTTTTCTTTGCTTGTGATGGGCACTTCGACTGACCAAATGCTTGACTGGCGGACTGACTGACTGACTGACGGACGGACCGACGGACGGACGGACGGACGGACGGACTAACGGACTGACGGACTGATGATCATGACTGACTGACTGTCAAGCTGTCTTCTTGACTGTGGCGCTGGCTGGCTCGCTTGCTTTCTGGCTGTTTGGGTGTCCAGCTGGTCAACTAAATGACTAACCCACCACCTGACTGACTGGCAGCTACCTGACTGGCTTATGGACCGCGATTTCCACACTTACCAACTCATGAACCAGATCACAAAAAAGTTGCTGGGAATATCAATGGCACTTGTGAGAAAAAAATTCAGATAGAGACTACCACCAAGCACTCCAACACTCAACAGTACTCCATAATAAACCATGGAATTAGTAAACCTAAAAAAGGAGGTTTAAAATAAACAGTCTAAGTTCCATTTTATTCTCCTTCATTCTTCAAATGTGAGTCCTCAGAGAATTTGGCGGCGCATTAGTCGAGAGAAATATCCTTTCCTATTGATCTGATAGATTTGTCTAGTGACTTATTTCTCATTTGTTTAAAGCATATTGTATTATGACAAGATATTAGATAAAGGTCATCAGTAAAGTTTTATTCAGACTGGAGTTTATAAGACTCAGTCTGTTTTTCTCTCAAAATTCAGCAGGGGTGAGATATTTTAGCCTAAAGGGGAACGGGACAAGACATGGGTGTGGCACCTCTTGGCCATACCACCCTTTTGCATTCGCAATGGCTAAACACTTGTCTAAGGGACTGGTCAAAAAGTATTGAGGGGTGGGCTGAGCAGAGAGGGGGTGGGTCATCAGTTTTTGAGTCCTTTGTAAGGGGTGGGTCGTTCAATTTTCGTCTACCCATAGGGGTAGGTCATCCGGTTTTATACCAGGAATTGGCACACATTTGACACAATCAACAACAGAGGTAACTCCTTGCAGTTCCAAAGGATGAAAACTTTTTGAGCTGTGGTTGAAAACGTACACTTGGCTGGTGTACAAGAGAGATCACAATTTCATATATTGTAAAATCTGTACGAAGGTTAAGAAGTCTAATGGATTGAGCAAGGAGTAGGCCAGGGCAGACATTTTAAAAATACTGCACTCTTTCAACATGCTGGTCTTCAAGAACACCAAATGGCCAACTTGTGTCTACATGGTATTCGTCCCCAAGGGTACAGGACACATGTTCAGAGATCTGGGACTCACAATCTTGGGCCTGGGACCCGTAGCTTCCAGGCTGTGTGAGTCCCAAGACTCACTACAGCCTTTTTCTAGATGGATCACTGTTCCACGCATAACAGGCTGGAGGCCAAGTGTGCATAGTTTAAGGTTGTTTTTTAGAGTTTACTGACATGACATAAAGTTGCAAGAGTAAAAGAAAGTAAAAAATATTAGTTTTAGATGATTTTGTATTGTTCTAAAACGTAAGTGATGACACAATTACTTACACAAAATGCTATTTTGTTGCATTATGCAACCAAAAATGTCATGTTTTATAGACCACTTTCATAAATGGCAGCCAATTATACATTTTTTTGCAAGTATTAAATTAGCATTACTAACCTCATTTTGAAGTTGGTAGTTCAAAAGAATTTTTACTCTGAAACGAGGTTAGTTAGGCTAATTTATATGCATACAAAAGAATTTTAAATTTGCAGCCATTTATGAAAAGGGTCTATAGGGTGTGGGTAATGTTACTTTCAACCTTCATTTACAGGTGGGTCACTCAGTTTTGTGTCAAATGGAAGGGGTGGGTCATGTGTTTTCTAACCACCTGACATTTTCAAATGCTCCAGCCCACCCCCCGCCCTACTTTTTGACCAGTCCCTAAGTGACTCATACAGAAAAAAAGCAGCTGCTAGCAGTATAGGTGGTTATCTAATACTATTGGTGGGTTCCATAATTAATAAAAATATTATTAATCAACTAGGAGTAATATTTTTTACCCTGGGGGAAATGTTAGTTTAACCCTAACCCACCTCTCTGAGAGAGCATTCTAATGTGTATGTTGAGCTTAGAGCCTATCTGACTGGAGGAGATCGAACCATAAAACAAGCTTACAGATGATTAAATCAACAAGTCCTCTTACCATGCAAACCAAAGAATCAGGGTCCTGAAAAGCTGTTTTCTGGTACGAAGCAGATCAAAAAATCCGCCTTCTTTCATGGCTTCCTCATTGTGTTCCAGTGAAAGTTTATCACCTGGTAGCTGTTTTTTATTCAAGCTAGCAATTGATGATAACACCTTCTCAGCCTCACCGGCTTTCCCGTGAACTATCAGCCATCGACAGGATTCTGGAACCCACCTTGAAGAGTATAAGAGTCACTGAATAAAAAATGCACAGATCCAAATAAGACAAAAGAAGCTACAATTGTTGTCGCCCTGGAATGCATTTCCACAAAATGTGTTTTTTTGTGTAACCTGAGATATTTTCGACTGAGTACAAAATTAATGGAACAATTACAGACCTATTACATATTGTCACATTTCACATGAAAACAATTGCCAACCTACCTGTCTTAAAAGTGCCAGCCTTCCTGTGCCACAAATTTAACAATTTCCTATGGCACAAGTCTCATGACCCCTTCAGCCCCCTAACAGAGGCCCTATTAGGGGTTTTCGGAATATGGGGTATTTAGGTGAAAAAGTAATGGAATACAAGATATTTGGGGAGGTAATGTAATGGAATATGGGATATTAATAGACCAGATAAAACAGGACAATCAAGTATCTAGGAAAATCATTTATTCTTGCAGGATATTAAGGCAAAAAATTAACAGCATATGAGATACTCAGATCCCCCTGGATCAACCCTTGCATCCTAAACTTGTAACTTTGGAATGATTTAATACTTGAAAAATCAAATTTTATGGCTCACCTCCAAAAAATCAGCAAAGGAAATGCAGGGGCTGAAATGACAATTGACAAAGTTCTCCAATTCCTTATCCCATAAGCTAATCCACTCAGCACCATGAGTGACGACGTGTAAAATATCCACACTAAAGTCCCAGAAAAACCTCGATCTTTTGGTCCAACAAATTCTGTCACAAGCACATAAAGAGTGATGTAAACTCCTCCTTGAAAGAAACCTGCTATTCCTCGTAGTGTCAGAAACAACCTAAACAACAAACACAAAACAAGTGACTCCCTTTGTCTCAGAGAATATATATTAAATAATATTATTACCCAATAATTATAATTACTACTAATCAGTTACTGTATAAATACTCTGCTAGTGGGAGATGTGCTGGACTACGAATCGTGCAGTCCTGCTTCAAGCCTAAGTGGCCAGGGTCGGTGCATTGTGTCCTTGGCAGGACACTTTATTCTCATAGCTTCTCTCTCCCCCAGGTGTATAAATATAAATGAGTACCGGCAAATTTAATGCTGGGGTATGACCCTGTGATAGACTAGCATCCCATCCAGGGGGGAGTAGAAATACTCCTCTTCCCTTCATGCTACAATGCAGACTTCGCCTACTTCCCAGGGGGTGACTCCCATTTAACATTGGTCTGAACTATGGAACTAATAAATATTATAAGGCAGGTCTGAAATAGGGTATTGTTGAAGAGTTAGGTTTTAAATAGGGTATCAAATTTTTGATCAGGTCCTAAAAAGGGTAGGGAAAATCACAGATTTGGCCTTCAAATTAATAGAGTAAGGGTTTTGGGAGATGGGTTGCACGCCCCACCCAATTTTTCTGAACTCTTTTGATGTCCTTATATTCATGAAGTTTGATTGAAGAATAATCCATCCTGTCCCTTCCCCCTCCAAACAAAAATAGTCTAAAATTATATCAGTAAAGGTAGACCAAGGTATTCAATGAAGAGAAAATGAATTTTCTTGATCTACTTCCCAATTGTAAAACTGAGTAAAACTAAAGCTACCATTGATTGACATGGGGTGGACTTCAACTGATTATTAAGGATATAAAATGGAAGTATCATTTACCACAACACAGAAACAAATGAGCTTGCAAATGAAGCAACAGCAACCCCAAAGATAGCAGGGAATAAAACACGCTTACGACCAAACTTGTCTGACAGTCGTCCAATAATAAAAGCTCCCGGAATCCATCCAATAAACAGCACTGATTGAGACAGACTTGCATAGTATTCCTTCCCACAAACCAGGGTCCACTAAGAATGTAACAATTGGTCACAATTATTGCAAATCAGTGACTTAATTATTAGATGATAAACACTCATGTCAATTAGAGTCTGCCTTTTGCCACACTTTCATGCATAATCCATTTTGAAACCAGTCAGTGTACAAGGCAGACTGCAGACTGGGGATAAAATCCAGACAGAGGGTAAAATACAGACTGCAGACCAAGGATAAAATTCAGATTGCAGGCAGTCTACAGACAAATCCATTATTGAGTGTAACTGTAAACAGGGTTATAATCAATCTAATCACAGTGAAAGTCTGCACTCAGGTTAACCTGAATATCACTCCGACCTGTTAGACTGCATGAATATCACTCTTGTTAGCCTGAATGTCACTCAGATTAGCCTAAATAATGCTCCATGCCAGTTGGCCTGTTTACTGTTAGCTATCAATAATGGAAACGGAAACAAAAAGTCAAAGTTAAAAAGTCTACAGTCTGCAGTCTACAGTCTACATTTTACCCTCAATCCACATTTCACCCTCAGTCTACATTTTACCGTCAATCTGCATTTTACCCTCAGTCTTCATTTTACCCTCAGTCTTCATTTTACCCTCAGTCTTCATTTTACCCTCAGTCTGCATTTTATCCCCGGTCTGCAGTCAGCAGTCTGCGTTTTACACTGACCGATTTTGAAACTCTTGAATGGCCATCTGTGCAGTGTTCTGCTGCTGATCTGCCGATCGCTGGCATCTGTTGAGCACAGTTTGCGCGGTTTAGATTTGCAGACTGCATTCAGACCCGGCCAGGCAGTCTGCAGTCTACTGATCGACGTCTGCAGTTGCATTTTGCAGAGATGGAGTATCGTGTTTCATTTCCGTTATCGAGAGCTCAGGCTAACCTGAGCGCTATTCTCCCCAAGTCTGAAGGCGCCCGTACGCCTATGAGAATACTGGACAGGGCCACGTTTTTCCAAAACTGCTTCCACTGTGTCATTCAAAATACAATTCATCATCACGCATATAAATATTGTTACTGATGGGCCAACTAAACAAGCTCAGCATGAAGGCACTATTAACAGTGTTAAAACGACCCACCTCAGTGACTATAGATGTAAACTCAGTTGTAAATTCCCAGTCATCAGAACTCATGTTGCACCTTGAGTTATAATAGCTATCGTCGAAACTGATCGTACCATTCCGTGTGCAAACCGAGCTGTTTACTGCACAACGCCATGTTGGTTCACCGCCAATGAACACCATTGAAACCGTTTGGAAAGTCAGCACGAAAATAATAAGACCAAGAAGTAAAGAATTTCGCTTTTGAAAGAATCCAAAGCTTCCAATCTCTTCCAGGATTTCGTCTGTATCCATCACAGAAGGTTTACCAGCGACTTCTCGACCTTTACCAGGTCTGATCTGGCCCTTACCCTGTCACGTTACGCAATGCGTGACGCGTGACAGGGGTATTGGACCAGTTTGTGACGGACTCTGAAGCCTTCAATCTTCGAAATTATTTCTGTTCGCAAAACACAAACAAGGGATTTTTCTTTAAACGACAATGAATCTCAGCCTGTTTGTTATACCTCACCAAAAACTTTTAACGAAATACCAAAGATCTCTTCGGAAGTTTTCAAAAATTATACTAGCATTAAATTCTTGACATAATTTAGCAAACCGGGCATAATGTTAATTTAACTTTTGTCTAAATTTAGCTCTGTTAGCATAATCTGGCTGTTTTGATTTTCACGAAATGAAAAAGCAACGTAACTTCGTTTTGAATATACAGTACTTCTTTTATTTATGTTTCTCAAATTTGGCTCCGGCCGGTCTCGCCTGTGGACTTGGTCTCAGCCCCGCGCGTACGGCTCGGTGATGTCGAGCAATTGGTTCCAGTTCAGATAGTTCAGCAGTTAACAATGTCGTACAGAGAGCTTCAATCCCTCGGGAGCGTTTTGCTGATTCTGAAGAATAGCTGCAGATGATATGTAAGACATGCAACGAAACACTATTGTCATCGGCTCGTGTCCGTTTAATGCAAATGAGTCTGCATCCCATACATGTACCCTCATGTACCCTTTGGGTACCTATTTTTACGACCACAATCGACAAAAGCCTATTCAGTTTCCGCTGTGCCAAGAAAAATTCTTTTACATATTATTTAACCATAGAAGCGACAAACTTTTCACAAGGGAGACTTAATATTTACCATCAAACACTATACAAATCAACAACATCAAAGAATTGTGTTATATATTGTCAAATACCCCGCCCCAAAAGAACACAGCGGTTTTCTTTTATATTGTTTTCCCTTTGGACCACTGAACCTTCCCAGTCGTAAAAACAGAGTTAACCCTGAATTGGACAGAAATTCTAAAATGGTCGAATTCGTAACCTTAGAACTCAGTAACGATTTTACGCAGCGTGGTCAGGTTAACAACCCTATGGACGTTATCCTACATTTTGGAAAGTGTCACTGATATCACATGCACAACACGCTTACACAAGTAAACTAGTGATAAAACCCTTAAACTGCAAACGAGAATCAGTAAAAGATCAGTTTATTCGTACAGAAAATGAGCTCTGGCAAAATGGGGATGGTTTGACCAGTCACTCGAAAGGGAAAAAATAAAAAATACTGCATCAATCCTTAAAGCGTTATTGATCTGAAGTAACTCTTTGACATATTTCTCTGATATGACATCGAAAACTCAAACCTTGCTCCACGGAAGATTACTATGGAGCCCTTTTTTCCACTAGAGTTCCTACTAAATGCTCAGTCAGAGAATCATGTTTCAATCAATTTTCTTGCAAACCATCCAATCAAAAGACTACTAAGCATTGTAGACTGTTATATATTCCGTGCAATAAATTCGACCTCTTTTGTGTGAAGCTTCTTTGCTGATAAACTTTCAATATTAACAACTCTGTTGCAAATTTGATTTGCTTATCGAATGTAATGTTTCAACCTTCCCATATAGATAGTCCAAACTGATTAGAGTGTCTTGCAGCTCGAGGAGAATTAGTCCTTCCCACTGCTAACTTCTTGTTTTTTTTTTCTCGACTGCAGCAATTTCATATGACAGGTATTTCGTATTTTAAATTATCCGGCCTTTTTGTGTTCATACGATCGTTTACCTCACTCTGCGAGCTGTCCTGTCATAGGAGGCACAGTAAGTTGTCCCACGTTTGTTGCCCTATGCCACCAGTGATCTCCGGGCTGCCTTAACGGGTAAGGGTTAGGGTGCCCATAAATAGGCTGATACATCGGGTATCCATGATGGAACCGAACAAACTGGGGGTAGAAAAAACCGGAGGAAGCTTCAGCCATGTCTGCTGTAGAAGGATCCGAGGTGAGCTGCTGATACAACGGTCGACCTTCGATGATATAAGTGCGCATGGAATGTGATCGGTATTGTCTGAAGCCTGGACAGAAAGGATAACAACTGCAGCAACCGATGATGCAAATAATAACAACACCCACAGCAAGAAAGGTAAGACTCAATATCGGCACGAGTGAATAACATTGAGAGTGTTTGTGGATGCAATGGCCATTACAACATTGAACATCAGAAGTGATTTCGTCTGAGCAATCAGAATCATGCGAACAAGCTTCGATGCAGCACAGGTACATGACAGCGAGAGCAGTAAGCTCAGTCGAGAGCGCCATGTCGATGGTAAACGCGCAACAGAATTCATGCAGGGTGAACTGAAAAATGCACAATATCCCGTCAAGTGCAAGGATGTGCATTAACATAATTTTCGGCTAAAATTACTCCCCAAGAGTGCCAATTGGCACACAACGTCATAACTTTGTGAATATTTGATAGATTTCTATAAAGTTTGGCCACAAAAATTGTCTTGTGAAGATCTGCTCATTGAAGTCATAACGTTGTGACCCCCTCCTATCTAAGAAGGCTTGGTTGACCACCCCCACAAGTTTCTAGTTCCTTTTTGGGGATGCAAAAGGAATGCAAGACTTGTTTCATATTAAGCTATGCACTAAGACCTTCTAAATAAGCTATAGTTTAGGGGTATACTTAATATAGTAGAAGATTGATACATTTTTGAAGTCGTTCATTTTCGCATTTTAAAGCAATTTCTCTCAAAATGTCTTCCTCCTTCATAGCTGCTAATGTAAATTCTTAAATAAGCTGATCAGTGGCTTTCAAATGGTATATTGTACACAGGCAGAGTGTCTTTATTTGCCGATTTGGGAAAAACTGCCGTTCGCCTTGGGGGGTAAAGGGTTAATAGCCGTAAATGAAAAACATATTTTATTCATTAGCACAGTCACTTGCTAAAACGTCCAACGCCAACTAACTTCGATACGAAGCTGTTCGTATACTTGGGAGATAGACCTCATCATAAAACATTCACCTCCAAGCACATAGGGATACAACGTAAAATCACTTAAATACCAATCTATAAACATGGTAGCTGGTTGACTTTTTTATTTGCAGCGCTACCAGTTTGCTTCAGTTACAGCCTTGAGGTAAACTCTGTTTTTCCTTCTTGTTCTTCTTTGCCTTCGTTGACTATGACGTCACTTCCTGTGTCGCTCACGACTTCAGCTGTAGGCTGGTCTTTAGTCTCCGGAAGTGAAATACACAGCACGGCTGCCATAAATGCACCAAGACCCATGATTCCATAGGGCAAAAGAGGACGGACTCGGGTCTGTCAATCAAAGCAAGGATTGTAAGTGGTATTAGTTTCTACTATTAACCAACTTGTCGGACATCTGTTAATTAGGATATATGTTTAAATAAGCATGTTGATGTGTTGAAATAATGCCGAAAAGCTCTACCCACCAGCAAGAATTTTTAAGCGTGACACACTGAGACACGCGCGTGTGCATAGGATTAGTGAAGATAGGTAGGTAAGGTAAAACTTTACTGAATCATGTTACGAAACGCACAGATTCTAAAACTGAGGTTTTTACAAAAATACGAGCGAACGATCAAAATTACAGGGCATTACAAACTTTTCAGACTCACCAACCAAATGGTGTAAGAGGAGGAAAATGATTCAATTCGTCCCACTCCTGAACTTGTGCCCATGCCAGTGTTTCGAAAGGAAAAAAAGAGAAAGGGAAAAAAAAACCCTGTTATCAGTTGGTTTCCTTTAACAACTTGCAGTAGATCAGACAAATTTTACCACCATAGTCTAGACAATTGTCAATCGTAAGATATCAGCATACCTAACAACAGCTGGAAACAACTCCGCGGAGAAGACGTAAATGGCGTCAAACGAGACTGTGATGAAAAACTTGGCTAACAAGGCCATGGTGATTCTGCCAGCCAGAAATTTGCAGCAAAACAGAAACGTGCATTTTAGGAGCGCGTCAGGGTGTGGCATCCATTAACTAAGGATTCACTTTGTGGCCTTGAAGTGATCAAGTTCCAAGATTACGTATAGATCGCTATATGTCCCCACCCCCTGTATAAAGAATATTAATGTTTTAGTTGAACGGGCAATACGGATTAACGTTGCAATTCTTTTGCTTCCATCGAAAGAAATATTTACGCGTTCAGATTGCAGTCAACAGAACGGAACTCGGCCATGTAAGCTATGCGTGAAGGTTTAGATGGTTTACAAAAAAAATTGTTCATCAGAAGTTATTAGAGTTAAAGTCACGCACTCGATAATTCTACCTTTATCGTCGTTTTTTTTGGTCAGCAGTTCTGCTCCCATCGAGGCAAGCGCAGCAAGGATCATGGGAAAAATAACAGTTTTCTTTCGCCCGAACCTGCATGATGATGGAATTTTCATTCAAAGCAAAAGACGATTAGTAAAGAAGACCTCAATTTTACTCTGGGCCACCATTTCTGCACCTTTTCATAACACTCGATATCAGCAGTCCAAAATCTAACTAACGATTGCGTTTCAAACACTCAAGAAAAAAGAACAAAATAGTTAACTCCTATTTGACGATGTTTGGAATGTCACTACAAGTTTACAAGTAAATAACTTTTACTGGAATTGTCACAGAATAAAGGTTTTACTGATCCAGCAACTGTGTCATAACAAAATGTTACAGCATTAAGTAACAAAGTACTCTGTTCAATAGCTTTCATTTGAATGATCACGCAGTAGGGTTTTATCCAAAAACTCAAAGATAGAACCACCTTACACAGCATAATAAACAGTACCACATGAAAGTACTGCTCAATAGCTTTCATTTGAATGGTCACACCTTACGGTTTTATCCAAAGACTTTTTGTTGAACGGATCAGAATAATAAAAACTAAACACCAAATGAAAAGTACAGCTCAATCAGTAGCATCCACGTACCTTTTATTGCAGAAAATGGCAGCGTAATTGGCTGGAATTTCGAGCACACTTATGAGAAAGAAGTTGAGGTACATGTTGCCGCCTAACACAGGTGCCTTAGACTTACGCCATAATACACCATGGAGTTCACGAACCTGAAAACAAGAGGGTGTTTAGATAACACTATGACAGAACTAACAAACAAAGGAATTAAAGCTCAAATCAAAAATGGTAACCGTAAAGGTGTGGGGAAAAAAAACTTGATACAATCGGCTGCAAGGAAGGGAAGACATATGGCTGGCGGTAAGTCCAGGAAAAATGTAATCAGTAGCCGTCATGAGAAGTGCGGGAAAGTTGCGTGAGTTACGTGCAATGCAATTCATATATCTTATCAGATGTTTTGGTGTGTAGTATCGCTGTATATTTTTACGAGTTGTGATTTTTTCAAAAAGCTGCAACTGCACTCGCCGAAGCGGCTCGTGCAATTTCAGCTTTTGGAAAAACTCACTCATGCAAATTAATTCCAAATTGAACTTGAAACCGTATGATTACCTATACAAACATAATTTAAAATGGTCAAAGTAATAAATTGTACGTTGAGATTGGGGAAGGTAACAAGAGACTTCATCTCAATTACTTTAATACTGCTTTTTTTTCTTGAGAGCAGTTTTCAACTGAGTGTCGCAAAACCAAATTTATAGTATTTGCCAGTCACACAGGACACACACAATACAGTGAACCAATCAAAACTCGAAGTGATAACTGGTACAGAAAGCGCGGGAAAACGAGTACGGGAGAGTCACGATTGGTCTTGATTTACTTCTGATAGGATAAAAAAGTGGCGCGAGTTTTATAAGCCAATCGTGTAGCGTAGTTGATGCAAAACCAATCATATTTTTCGACACTCAAAAGAAAACCGCTCGAGTCGTGGTTTCTGTTGTAGTTCTATCATAGTTCGTACTCCCAGTAATTTATATTGTTTCAGTAAAGTTATCTGGTCTGACTATAAGGATTAAAGAGAAGTTCCTTTCGTTTAGTTTTACGGTGATGAGATGGTAGATTTTTAGGGCGGTAGATTTGATGGGGAAATTAAAAAATAATCATCTTGTATCATATTTACCAGGCTAAACATCCACCCTCTCATTTGCGGCCTATTGACATTCCACACCTAACCTGTTTATCACATGAGCTTCTCTAGTGACATTAGCTGCTTCTAGTCTCCTGTAGCTCAGTAGTACTGAGAGTGTCTGGACTTGAAACCACAGGGTCGTTGCTTCGACTCCTACCTGGAGAACTTGGAATTCCTTTTAAATTATCTTCTCAATGTTGTCTAATATCTGTATTGCGTGGGTCAAGTTCTTTAATTTCCAAAGTTGGCCTTAGGGCATTTGTCTGATTCTTTTCGATTAACCACGGCTTAAATTTTCATCGATATGTTTCGTCTGATCAAATAGAAAATCCCACGGCAGATAAAGTCATTCACAAGTGACAAAGCTAGACCGAAGGAAGGCGGGTGGCTGAAGAAAGCTTTTCGTCTCTTCGAGTCAAGGTAAGACTCTAGTAATGTCCTGTAGCGAGATTAATTTCATATTTCAGGCCACGAGTTATTTGATGTTCATATGACGAAAAGGCAGGCTAGCCTTGTTTCCGCTGTCTCGGTTTTTGCGACCGAGATCTCGGTATTTGGGCTGTTAAAATATTTTCCTCTATGAAAACCCAGTAAATTACTGGGACGAAAAACATAGCTTCGCATTCAAAAGAAGGCGACATGTTGCGTTGTCTATTGTATTTTCACGCACATTTAAAGATGCGTTCTATTTAGCTGCAGCAAAACTGCAAGTGTTGACAGAGGTATGATAAAGGACTCCTGTACAACAGGCGTTTCATATTTTTGCTTTTTTATATTTTTCAATTTTATTTTTCTTATTTTTGCTCTTTGTTTGTTATTATTTGTTTGTTTGTTTGTTTGTTTGTTTTTCTGCTTTTACAGCACGCAATCGATAGTTTTCCCTAGTTTCTTTTTCATCTCGGTAACCGGGCTTGTATAGATGAACAGGAGACAAAATTCGTCCCTCTAAGCGGCCTGGTTTCCGGTCTTCTGTCTCGTATGAAGAAGTTCTTATTTTTGCAGTTACTTTCTCAGCGGTTTTATTCAGCGTTTGGAACGGAAATCGTTTCTCATGTTGATAATAATTGCCTTATCTGGGGCTATTCACCGTAAAATCTATCTGTATAAGCACAATATTTTGAATACCCTGCCGCAATAATTTGACTGATATCATATCTAGCTGCCACTTTTGGCAGGCCTTCAAAGACGTCCCGAAGCAGAAGTAGACGCTAGTACTCAGGCGTTTTAAAAATTTCTCTTAATCTTCTGAATCTTTCTTAACTACTGTAGCACACACGACAGAGGTATGGAAAGTTTAGTTATAAATTGTTTAATGGCTAGAAACGCAATCTACTGTTAAAGAAGAGACACCTGAATTAATGCCGGGTAAAGAACCCTGTTCAAGACTACATTATTTTTACACTGGCCAGTTTTCCGATAAATTAGACCCCATTCTAGACCAAAACTGTCTGAATACCCTATCCCTGACTAAACCGCCTCAAAATCATAGCCTTCACAGCGGCGCATACCCATATATGTGGGAATACCCCTTCTCCACGGCCATAAAATGCATCATAAAAAAAGAAATACGCACGATGTGTTCGAAGTGCTCTCAATTTGGTCCCCATCGAGGGCACACACGCTAACAAGCGCTTTAAATTTTGCCAACTGTTTTTTTTTTTTNTGTCTTCTATCTGTGATGATCATTTTAGTCTGAAAATCCTGATCTTTGTGGATCATCAAGATACATTATATGGTAGTTCAAGCTTTCATCTCATGTTTAAAATGACCTGAACCTGATACTCAGCGGAAAGCGAAGTTTTCAGCAACTGCGGATCATTGCTCAAAACCGCGGAAATTGCGGCCTTTATTTTTAGCCAAAGATTTAAATCAGGCCAAAATCTCATTTACACCTCGTTTGGTACCGTCGCTGTTTTTTCTCTCTCTTCAAAAACTGTTTAAAGTTAACGCAAAATAGCTTTGCCGCACGCACGTTAACAAATCACACTAATTTCGTTTATCTTTGCTCTCAACCCTTCTTTCTCAGTCCATGATCTGTGAAAGTGGTCATAATTACACGACCAAGGCTCTAGATACCAGCAGGGTCGTCGTTCCGGTTGCTCGCTTAAACATTTTATTTATTGTTATTTCTTCGATTGCACTCTGAAAGATACTTTGACGGCTAAAAATACTGGCGTTTTGTCATAAACATCCTAAGTGAGAACAGAATCCTTGATTTATACCCCTAAGCGAGACGACGAGAATCCCCGACCTTTTCATAAGGTTAATTCGGTACTGAGACCCTGTCTTTTTATTGCTTGGGATGCCTTCTGTTAAGCGCAACCTTCGTCTAATCTTTTACCAATTGACTGGCGAATGCACACACACTTAAATACCATATCGGTAGAAATGTGTGGTCCAAATGGGCGAACTGATCTTGGAGGATTAAACATCCTTTTAGAATACAACTTCCCCCAAACACTTTCACGCGACTTTCAGAAGCCCAACTACAAAGTTCATAAAACAACCAATAGAAGCTGAAGTTTAGAGAACTAGAAACCCAAACAGGTTCTTTGTAGAAAATTCAGAATCAAGACGAACCCAAACATGGCTAAAACTGGGGAATATCCGAGAATATTCCCCAACTTTCAAAACTGCGCGCGTTGCGAAAAAGATTTGAAGAATAATAAACACAATAGCCTCCATTTGGAGGCGAAAGTATGCTAGGATATTTGTCCTTGGACATTATCTGTTCCTCGAAATTCACAGTTTTCCTCGAGCTACGTTCTCGGAAAACTGTTCGCTTCTCGGAACAGATAATGTCCGCGGACAAATATCCGAGCATATTTTTGCGCCAAATGGAGGCTATTATTTATATATATACTAAGATAAAACAAACTTGTTGTGATAAGACTCTTTGTTTTCATTTTTCGACAAGATGGCACTGACAGTGGACCAGATGCTGGAACGAATTGGGAGCCTGGGATTCTACCAGATCCGGCTGATTTTCATTCTGGGCTACATAGAATGGTTCAACATGACATTCCAAGTCCTGGTACCTACTTTTATCGCCGCTGAACCCAACTGGCTTTGCGTGACCAATCACAGCTCTTGTAACCTGACCGGCGAATTTAAACCCGGGGATAAACTTTACAACGAGCGATGTGATATGCCGAGGGATGCCTGGGAGTTTGCAGATGGCTACACCTCAGTTGTTACTCAGGCAAGAAATTAGAAACAGGAAAAAAGGGAGATAAGTTATAAACAACTATTAAATTGTTTTTAGTTCGAAACGAAAACATCTCTGGATACCGAAGGGGACGAGGAAGACCTGACCATATCTCCATCCCGTCCCGTCCCGTCCCCGCACTTCTCTCCTGCCCCTTTCCCCGTACCCAAATATGCTTTGGATCCTTTCTTCTGTTGGGAACTTATGTGAATGGAGATATAGGGAAGCCCGGAATGGCTCATATAATGCTAGGCCTGAAAAATAGCCTCCCCAAGAACGGTCGTCGAGCATAAGATAGTTTTGGTCTATGCAAGTAACTTAAATGGCCTCGCTATAGAGAGAGCAAACTGTACTGTAAGGTAAAATATCGATGCGCTTAGCAACAAAACTGAAGGAAAGCCACTTAAAATGAATGAAACAAATATATACACTAAACTAGTAATATACTTAAAAATCCCACCTGGCGCCCAACTGGAAGCCCATGTTTTTGTTTGTTGATTGCTTGTTTGTTTGTTTTGTTGTTTGTTTTAGTTTGACCTGGTTTGTGACAAAGCTTTGCTCGGCACCATTTCAACCTCACTCCTGTTCGCCGGCTGGCTTCTAGGTGCTTTAGGAGGAGGAGTTTTATCAGACAAGATTGGGAGGAAGCCAGTCATGTTCGTGTTCTCCGTCTTGTGTAGTCTCTTTGCCCTGTTAGCTGCCTTCCCTAATGTCTTCTGGCTTTTCATGTTATTTAGACTTCTTGTTGGCATATGTATCGGTATGTGTAATGTTTCACCTTCTTTTAGCTAGAGATCAGAAATTTTGCATGGGGTCCTCGTTTTATGCCATTGTTTGGGACTCATTTGGTGAAGCTTGAAGTACGAATAATATTGAAATATTGTAGGGGAAATTTTGCAAAATAATAATGGGGTCGCAGAATAGTACCCTGAGCTAAGTATTTCTTGCAAACGAAATAGAAAATATATATAAGCGACGCCGGAGATAAGACGCTAAGCTTTCTTTAACAAACAGGCCCTCAACTGATCAGTACGTATATTTTCAGCTTGTCAGCATTGAATTCGAGCAGTTTGTCATCCCTACGAACTGTCTTGCCCAAGGGGTTCAATAAATTTATGGAGTAAAGCTAAACACAGACACCATTGGATAAACTGTAGCAGTAAAAGCAACAAATTGAACATTTCAGATAGTGGTAATTTTAAATGAGTTTGGTTAAAGGAGCCCAGTCACGGTATTTTGAGTTATTCGGCTACGTACAAAATTACCTTTAAATTGAAGGAAATCTGAAAATAATAGTTACCTAAGATAGAGAAACACCAAAGAGATAATAATAAACCACAAAGGAACAAGGATGATTAAGGATGGAGACGATTGACACGGATTGCAAACGACGAACTTGAAAAATTTAGACTAAACTTTTCAAGATGCGCAAACCTTGATATAGAGTACACGATCACTCATCTCTTCATATAAATTGTACTATTCTTTTTCACTTGATATTCTGCTCATGAACTCCCATTCCACCAGGTGGTGGTGCTATGGGTATCTACGTGCTGGCCCTTGAGTTTGTGGGAGTGAAGCATCGCCACGTGGCTGGTACATCAATTTGGTATGCGTGGGCCTTGGCGCTGGTTATGTTAGCAGGACTGGCATACGCGGTGCGTGACTGGAGATGGCTGTCAATTGTTTGTGCTGCACCGGGACTTATTTCCTTCGCGGGCTGGTGGTGAGTCCAATTTGTCCTATCATTCAATTTTTAGTTTACTTTTTCCAGGCTCTCGGGGAATGCAACAGAGCTCGAAGGGGCCGAAGGTGAGGAAAATTTAAAATGTCCCTAGCTAGGCCTTTTTCGTGCATGAAATGCAAGGAAGACAGGAAATCAGCGCCCAAGTTCCTGAGTTCCCGTTCTCCATGCCACGAGTCAAACCATCCATACCATTCCTCAGAATCGCTTTCTGAAGGACCAATGTGGCATATTAACCATGTGTTTGCAAATCATTCTTAGGAGAAAATGAGTTCTAAAATAAGAGTAGATGATTTTTTTTACTCTTATTACCTGCTTTCATTACAATTTATTGATTTTTTAAAGAGAGATCAGATTTTCATCATTCTTAAGAATACTCGAAAGAAAATTGTTTTGCCCTTCGATGAATTAGCACAAAAGCACCAAAGTAGAGGGAATAAGGTCTGGTGTCGCTGATATTCCTGACACTGTTTTGCTTTTTTTCCTCGGTTTTTCTTGCAGGTTTACTCCTGAATCGTCAAGGTATTTGTTGTTGAAGGGAAAAGTCACAGAAACAGAGGAAATTCTACGAGGAATCGCTGCCACCAACAAGAAGGACTACCCAGAAGAACCTCTCTTGGACCTGCATGCTGAAGGGAAGGTACAGGCCTTGGGCGACGTAAGGGATCTGTTCCGAACCAAGAAAATGTTACACAGAACTCTGGTATCGTGGTATGCCTGGTAGGTGAAAGCAACAGGAAATAATGCCAGTTTCGCCTTACCGAAAAATATAATCTGAGCCAGTTGTTCGTCAGAAAAGTCCTCATCTGGTTTCAGTACTTTGGGTGGCTTATTCTTCTCGGGGTAGGAAGGCCTTATTCGTTATCGGGGCTCAAAGTTATGGACCAGAAAGACTTACTAATGAAGAGTGCTGCGTGGTTTAAAAAAGTTTGGGCTTGGACGGCTTTGTATTTAAAGACATTCCATTCATTCAGTTATTCATTCATTCGGTCATTCATTCATTCATTCATTCATTCATTCATTCATTCATTCATTCATTCATTCATTCATTCATTCATTCATTCATTCATTTATTCATTTATTTATCTCCTTATTTTCTTACTTCGTTCATTAACTGAACGTCCATTACCTTTTTTGCGTTTTTAGGTTTGTTAACGCCATGGTTTATTATGGTGTATCATTCAGCACTCCGACGCTTGGTGGCAATATGTACCTGAATTTCTTCTTGTCTTCTATTATTGAGATTCCCGCCAACTATGTTAGCATCTGGGCCATGGGCAAGTAAGTCAGTCAGTCGGGTGCCGTAGGTTCTTAGTGCAAACATCCATAATAATTAAATGTTAGAGCAGGGTGGCGTAGAGGTACATGAGAGCGCTCGCCTTCGATCAAATGTAGCCCGGATTCGATTCCGGCTCGGTGCCATATGTGAGTTGAGTTCGTGGTCGGTTCTCGCCTTGCTCCCAGGAATTTTCTCCAAATCCCACTACGGCCAGGATTGAGGACACGCCTAAAAACCAGCCAAGGCTGACGCGGCTACCTGTGTAAATATTGCGATTTATTTTATTTTTTTCTTTTTAATATTTGCATCCGGTGTCAATCCCCAGTCAGGTTCAAACCTTTGTTTATTTAGTTTCGCTGGGTTAGGAAAAGCAGTTCGTTTGTATAGTGATGAAGGGTTGATAGAGTGATTTAAGGCTGGATTTCACAAGCGACGGAGTCGGAGTCGGAGTCGTAAGAGCGCTTATGACCTAGTGAAAATCGAAAAACAGAGCCGTAAGCGGAGTCATAAGCTCGACGGAATCGAATTCGGAAGAATCAGAACGTTTCCATCTCTTCCGATTCCGTTTACGACTCCGTCGCTTACGATCCAGTGAAAACTAGATTGTCAGAGTTGAAAGCGGAACCGAAAGAACCAACCAATCACAGGGCGCGGAATCGAGCGTTGTAATTAGTTTATTCTTCCCCTTCTGCTTCCGACTCCGTCGGTTTGATTTTTACTAGATCGTATCACTCTACGCTTCTGATTACGACTCCGTCGTTAGTGAAGGCCAGCCTTTAACGGAAATGTTTTACGGCTTCTCTTTGTATCAGGTTTGGACGGAAAAAGGCTCTGATTTACTTCATGATTCTTGCTGCCATTGCCTCGATCGGCGCAGTGTTGTTTACGATGTATGATCCTGGTAACGACAAATGTAAGTTGAGTATTTTATTGATGTATGGCGTAGGGCTGGAAAATGATATGTGGAAAACATCTGGGTACAATTGCAAGCCCTGGCCGGGCAAGTTACCTCACATCAATCAATCGGGAGTTTAAGAAACCAGAACGCGACGCCGAGGACAACGTCGATTAAAAAATGATTATATATTTTACCTACGAATCTCGCGATACTCTTAAGTTATTTTCCTTAGTTTCTCAGTGTCAGAACTATCACGAAACTGAATCTGGCACACGGCGAAACATTTTAGATAAGAATAAAAAATTAGCCGTCGTGGTTCACGTTCTCTTGACAACGCAGCATTTGATCATTTCACGTTGTTGTTTTGCAGAGGACGGCAAAGAAATGTACCAAGAATTATAATGCACCTGCACAGCCATTGTTCTGCTCATTAAACCTTTTGTTTAGGGACGTTCCCGTTACCGTTGCCGTCGTTGTTTTCTTAAACTCCCTGTTACTATTTCAACCGGACAAAGTGCTTTAGGTGCTTGGCGGGGAGGGGAATATCCAGCAAAGAACAACATCCCACTAGTACCATCCAGAGGAGAGAAGCAATGTGGAAACCGGACTTAGTGAGATACGGAAGGATTTTACAATGGGCGAGACTGAGATTCCTGAAAATCGACGTCCTTATTACGTTTTTAATGATGAACGCCTTCCCGGTTTGGTTCGCTGAGCAGCTAGCTAAGCGAAACACGAAAAATACATCATTGTAAAAAAGCATATTAAGTAATCTAGGATCCCTGGCGAAGACATTCAAGTCGTAACATGCGATGTGACTATTCCAAGCCTGTCTGTGTTTAAGTGAACGTATTTTTGAAGGTACGTTTTTTTTGTTGCAGGTTATGCGGCTGGTCGGATCATTATGGCGCTTGCTGCGAAGTTTTTTGTCTTCATCTCTTTCTCGGCAGTGTATGTTTATTCCGCCGAACTGTTCCCAACGACGATCAGGTTAGAAAAGTAGATAACTATGTAAACCGCTTCAGCTTTTTAAATTTACCAATCGTTGCGTCTTTCATTTCTCTAACTACAGAACTTCTTTCACCATCTCAATGAAAGACAGACGCGCGTAAAACTATGATTAATTTAAGATAATTTCTTCTCATATTTTCTTTTTCAAAAAATAGAGATAATAGCGGATCATACAGACGGCAAATTCTTCATACCAGTATCACAAGAAACCCAACCTCGTTCCCAGGGTCTCTCATCTTACCGCCCTCTGGAGGGCGGTAAGATAAGAGACCCTGGAAACGAGGTTGCAAGAAACCATGGACACCGGTTAGAAGAATTTGTAAAATGATACAGACTGGTTCCTATGCCGTGCAGCCTCTTGTTGTGAAAAACTCTTGAGCTAATAATGATACTATACACGGCAGTAGGAGGGTTGTTCTGCCGAGTAGCCACAATGACGAGAATAATGCTAAAATCAAAGTTTCACCAAATCGACGTTTTCAATTTTGCATTTTTTTTTTTTTTTGTCTTAAGAAACATTGGAATGGGTTCCTCTACATCTGCTGGCCGGATTGGTTCTTTCACTTCTCCCTATATTGTTCATCTGGTAAGTAAATAATGTGGGATTCTCTGAGGCCCCGTCCACATTACACCGTCACGAAAAAGGAGCTTTTCGAAAACGCTCTTCAAGCCGGAGGATTTTGAAAACGCCGACTTTGCCTTTTAGTGTGGACAGAAAACATTTTGAAAACGGAGCTCTTCGAAAACGATGAGGTTACGATATTCGTGACATTTTCCTGTCCGAGTTTTCCTCAAACGCAAATCCAAAATAGCCGATGATTGTACCGTTGCGTTTTGAAATTCCTCCGGCGTAGTGTGGGGGGGAAACATTTGATGCGTTTTCACGGTGAAACTTCCGTTTTCAAATTTCTCCGTCGTAGTTTAGACGCGACCTGTTATCCGGTTGTTTCTGGGCGATAAACGTGAGAGTCATTTTGCAAAATCACGTGGAATTTCTATTGGCCTTTTACTTAACGGAAGAGACCGTACGTAGGCTGAGTTCTATAAGATCCAACGACATTGCGCCAGATTAGTAATCTTGGCCAGGTAATCGTATAATTGCCGGTGGATTTAAAGGAGCTACGTCATGGTTTGCACATCTTGAAAAGTTTAGCTTCAATTTTTTAAATTCGTCGTTTGTAATCCGTGTCAATCTTCTCCATCCTTGGCCATCCTTGTTCCATTATGGTTTATCATTATCTCTTTGGTGTTTTTCTATCTTATTAAACTGTTATTTTCAGGTTTCCTACCATTTAAAGGTAATTTTGTATGTGGCCAAAATAACTCAAAATACCGTGACTGAGCCCCTTTAAGGATTTACATTACACGAGTGATATTTAAATGTTTTCTCAAGATTGCACAAGCCTTTAGGCAAGTGCAATTTGAAAGAATTTTCAAATGTCACGAGCAGTGTAAATCTTTAATTGCGCGCGCTTTCGTACAATTACTCAGTTATCATATGATTGAGAAAATTATGATCGCTGCAGCGGCTTAGTTTGCACTGCAGTCAAATTAAAATGAACGTTAAATTGCTCTTAGCCTATCACAATGAAGTAAGTATCGAAGTCGTATTGCAACGTAGGATAATTGCTTTATTATATTGGTCAACAAGTTGTCAACGAAAACGTCGTATTTTTAAAGTTATAGACTGCGGTTTTGTAGAGCCTTGTAAGAGCCCGAAAAGTCTTGAGCGTACAAGCGTACTTTAGTCGAATTCAGCAAATTTGGCAAACTACATATATCAGCACAGATGGCAAGCTAAAAGGACTTCCTGACCAGAAAAGGGGCACTGTTTAAGTTTTTCGAATAAGCTTGATCTGTATTCTCATGTCACGTGCCGGGGTCAGCAATTAGTATTTGCTTCCAGTTTAAATGTCAATTCTTATCATTGCCTGAACAGACTCGTGTGCACCCTCTCCTACCGTATGGCATTATGGGTACTAATGCTTTGCTGGCAAGCGTACTGTGCATGACTCTACCGGAGACGAGTGGAACGCCGACCGCTGAAACTATGGACTCAGAAGAGGGCGCAGAGCTTGGCATACAAAACATCGCCATGGATTGTACAGAGCTAGACAAGGAAAAAGAAAAAGATGACGAGAAAAAGGAAGATTTGAATGGTAGTGTCATGAACAGCCGAAAAAATATTACGGATGATCCCTCTTTCAACACTGCATTTTAAACACAAAATTGCTTTGATTTTTTTATTTGATCTTCTACCATAAAATATTGGTTTTGTGCCCTGGGTTTATATAACTTCATAAGGGGTTTTGGGTGGACATGTGTTCTTGGGAATAAGAAAAACAAGGCACAAATAAGTAAAAAAATACTCGAAGCACGGAGGTTTTTGTATGAAGCTCTAAGCAGGGGAAATGGGGCTTATACTAGGGGCGTATTCTATATCACCCGGTCTTCAATTGAAATTTTAGGCTTCTATATCGTAATTTTCTCGGGTGGTATAGCGTTTTGCTGATTATTTGGAAATCGCGGTTATTTTTTGCATTTGGAGAACGTTAATGTCGCGCATTGTTACTGCACATTGTTAGATTGTTACTCTTGTTGTAAAAGTATCAGCTAATCAGTTAGGGTAGTTTGTTTGCTTAACCTCGAGCGTAGATGGAACTGATAACTTACGCTCGAGGATGGAATTGATATGAAATGATAATAAAGGCAAGGCTGCTATCGAAGACCTTTTTTCAGTTTTTGTTTTGCACCTCCAAAACAGAAGACAAATGAACTTGGTGTGTTCGCAGACTAGAAAGGAGTGGAGAGTATGGGAGCTGATTTTCTCGATCCTCTCACTTGTTACGCGCGGGCGATGCGAGTTGCCATCAGCTTGATTAGCAGCCCGCATTCCGCGGAGCAGCGGAAATCGTGACTGCTGATGATGGATAAACGTAAATGCGATTTCTCGCCCGGAGGGGACACCCATATAAAAAGTACCGGGGTGCTTGTCGGAAATTTTGAAAAAACCCCTGAAGAGGTACTAAGATTCTGATTTGTGAGCGTGGCTTGATTATTTTTAATAGAAGTACCAGTCTTAAAACAACTCACTATCTATTTATCGCCTGTCATATTTTCGGCCCGATACCCTAAAAGGAACCGCAAAAGCTTCTGATGTGGACCTTTCGAGGCTGAACACCTCAAGAGCTACCAAAACCGTCTTTTCACTCCTAAGAGGCACGACGAACATCCCTACCTTTTTTATATGGGAGTCCACTCCCCAGGATTTCTTGTACTTTGTATATTGTAATCCGTGAATACCGCAACGTAAAGAAAATAATCTGTGACAAAATCTTCTTTGTTTTGGTTGTAGAATGTTTAATACGATTAATTAGTCTGAAAAAACACTGACGCATTTCATAACAGAAACACAGTAGTGTCGAACGATAAATGTCATAAAAGCACACTTGCTTACATCTGCCAATCATCAACCGAGGAACGCAAACATGATCCTAGTGAGACAAAAGGTTCAATGTTCACTGTGTTTTGCGAGTCCTTGTAATGCAAGCTCTACAATAATAGTGACCTGCCAGCACGAGAAGCATTTATTTCATTTTTGGAGAAATAGCAGATAAAGGTACAAAGGTAAGACAGCTTTGAAAGCGAGATTTGCCTGTTTATTGAATGAAGAGTACCAAACTTTGCGCTTTGTGCATGTTCGAGGCGCAGCCGAATTTGATCTCGTGTTTTACGAGTACACGATGCCGATGTTTGAGTTTATTTCAGTGATCACGCCCTTGCTCGAAAGAACAAGCTGCACAAGAGCTCTTTTGTAGCACTGGCACGGCATGGTACGTACCCACTGAATGGAATGCGCTTGTATTATGATCTGCATCAGTATAAATGTTCTGAAGTTCTGACCTATAAGTTCACAGGTATCATTTAAGCCCCGGGGAGCTTACCGCCCGCATATTAAACGCTCTACTCAGCCAGGATATATAATAACGATGATACAGCAAAGAAAACTAGAAAGTCTAAATTTTGCCTCTCAAGGCTTGCATGTCTGATTTTAGATGTCGGTGATCTACAATCAAAATAGGATGACCCCTAGCTCTGGCATCGGCAGGTGAAGCTGCACTTGATCAGTATCAAATATCTTAAAAGGTGTAAAGAGCGAAACATGTTCCACAACTAATTTATTTGTTTTACAATGTATAACTCAAATGACTGCCTGATGTATCGGTATTGTTGCAGTTTCGAAGTGCTTTCCATTTTTTGTTGAGATCGCGAAGGCATTTGGAATTTCTTCCTCAAGTAGGATCATTCACTCATTTTCGAACTTGTTCAGTTGATATCACATTTTCTTAGGATAAAAAAGTACCTCTTTCCGAATAGGAATGGCTGAGTTCAGCGGCATTTATTGTTATAACTTTATCATGCATACTTCTGTTTCTCAAGCACGACTTGTAAGGTTTATCTTTCTCGAACGCTTAACGAGAGGCACAAAACAAAAGGGCCAAGGAAACTGGATATCACCTGCCAACGGATGAGTAAATAAGTAACAAATTTTGGGGATCACGGGGACAAACTATGAGAGTCGAAAAAGCGTTAAAAGGTGAATTATTTTTTTAGCAATCCCTTTCACAAGCAGTATTTTTCTAAATTTCCCGAGTCTGACTTTGTGTCAGGATCGTAGAATGGGATCTCTACCGCAGGTGGCCCAAGTATGTGAACGTCATTATTACTTGTCACGTTACGAAGTACTGTAGCTGGTTTTAAATAACTACGGGTACTTATGACCTCCGTTGTTAGAGATCGTATGGAAAAATAATGCTGTTGCTGTAAGGTGTACGAAATTGGCAGTAAAATTTTCCTTTAAACTAACCTTAGTTGTCTTCTTGTCGTTTCTTAAGATTTTACAGCGTTGAGGGCGTCCTAGCGACGGATTAAGGCTTTGACATTTATCCGTCGCTAAGACACCTTCAACACTGTAAAATCGTACGCGGAAACGACAAGAAGACAACTTAAGTGAGTTAAAGGAAAATTTTGTTGCCAATTTCGTATACTTTCCAGCGAGAGCAGTATTTTCCATACGATCTCTTACAGCGAAGGTCATGAGTAGTTCTTAACCACGCTCGCTTACAGACTCCTTACACTGTATAGTATCTCGCAAAGTGTTAATGACGCAGACATAACAATGAGCTTGAGCCACCTGTGTTTCTACTTGCCAAAAGGATTGCTGACAGCGGACATGGCTCGTTCCCAGGCGTCTCTGGTAAAAAATTTGCATCTCACAATCATACAGAGAAGACTCACGATCATTGTGCCATTTTACTTGCACTTTGCCTTCTTACGTGTGGGAAAAGCAGTTTATGTATCGCCTGTTTTTCAAACCTCCAGGTCTAATTGACGAAAGCGATGTCTCGCATTTTTTTGGAAAGAAACTCGTGACCCCAAAACTGAAACAAATATTGAAGCAAGAAATAAAAAGCTGTAGTCCCAACACGGATAGAAATTAAAATTTTGCAGGTATCTGTTGCTGGAAATTATTTACTGCATCCAGTGTTACTATTGGCAAGGCTGGGCAAGCGCATGTAATGAGCACTTTATGATTGTTTCCCCCCAAGACCCTCAATGTTCCCCGAGGGAACATTGAGGGTCAAGGGAACATTGCCTCGCGCATGTTGACATCAGACTGGCAAATTTCACCTCAAATCTTCGCTTTAAAAATGCGAATCATGATTTTTATCATGAGCAAATATCCAAAGCAGCAAAGATGAAAATAATGCTCACGTGAAAATAACACAAAGGTGTCAGAAGTTTGTTGCATGTTATTGTTCTCTTTTTTTGAACTTGACCGTGCACAAAACACAATAGTTGTTTACTCCGTACTGAGGAACTAACCAATAGAAACGTTTTGGTCACGTAATTCACTCATAGTGTATGAGCGCAAAGCAAAAGATTGTGCACGGTTGTGAACCTTCCAACCGAAATCTTGGCATCTTTGTTTATTCCTTTAACGTTTCCCGACCTTCATAACCATTCCCCTCCATCAAAAAGTATGATCAATAATATCAGGCCTAAAATAATATCAGCTCAGAAAATATCAGAAAATGACGACAGCTTCGCAGAAAAGACCATGTATCGGCAAAAAAAAACTACTGTAATATTTCAGAGCTACATTGCTAATTAATGAAACTCACGTCGATCAAATGTTACTCTTTTAAATTCCTTTCACTTTTTACAAAATAGCGATTCTTTTTAGTTATTTGCACGCGCCAAAAAGATGTCTTTCAGTCAGCTATAAAACAATAACCCTTTTCATGGTTAGTTTTCTCATTTGCATTACAGTGTAATCTAACGTCGCCTGGATGTGGCAATTTCGTGCAGAAACCACAAAATAGCCCGAAATTGCCTCACACCCATGCTAGATTATATTGTAATGCAAATGAGAAATGTTAACCGTGAAGTCCGTGAAAAGGGCTATCGGCCAATCCCGTAGAGTGCTTCGTCATGATATCGAGTCATTTCCAAGTCGAAAAACACAACACCTTACTAGTTCCGATATGATACTGATGTAGAGTTTCTTTGCATTTCAGCCATCCCTTTGAACCTTTAATCTGGTTAAAACGACCCAAAAAATGGCGCTGACCGTGGACGAGGTACTGGAAAAGATTGGGAGCATGGGGCTGTACCAGATCAGGCTGATCTTTATCCTAAGCTACATAGAATTTTTCAATATAACCTTCCAGGTCATGGTACCTACTTTCATCTCTGCGGAACCCAAGTGGATGTGTGTCCCTCATGTCAATAACAGTGCTTGTAACTTCACCGGAGAATTCACTGCAGTGGACAAAAGACGCTGCGATATGCCGAGGGAGGCCTGGACATTTACCGATGATTTTACTTCCGTTGTCACGCAGGTATGCAGTTTGTTGAACGTTCAGCATCATAGATCCTGTTGTTACATTTTTTAAAAGACAAATTGTGGAAAGGCTCATCTGTGCTCAGGGTAAAACTTAAACTCGAGAGACATGCCATTTTTTCCATCTTACAGATCTATTTGTAACTATTTGTAATTATCTATTTGTTATTGTTTGAAATTTTTAATCATGGGGCGTTTTCCATTTAACCACAAATTCCGGTTTGAACTTTCCAGTAACAAATGGAACAGCATTTTCCAGAATTTCCGGAAAAGAGGAAAACCTTGCGAGGTATACCGAAATTTTTGGAAATTTCTTATCAGGAATTTTCTTTCCACTTTATTTTCCTCCCGGAATTTCTGGAATTTTAGGTTGAATGGTTCGCTTTTCGGGAATTCAACCATTTCCAGATTTCCCAGAACCTATCCCAGGAAATTTTTTTATCATTTGTCAAGTTTTCGGGGTTTTTGTGGAATGGAAAGCACCCATGGTTTCCATTTGTGTCAATGGCATAAACATAAGTCAAGTTAGTAGCGACATTTGCCATACACGTTTGTAACAGTGATGATGTTCTCTTGTTACAAGTAAAATATGAAATTTCAAGTATATGAAAGATCATATATTTGAATTGCGGAGAAAGATTTGATTGATCCTCGCAGTTATACACACAACTTAAGCAGTTGAGAAATTAAAGCCTGAAAATCCCTCTCGAGCCTGAATGTCTTTTTTCAGGCTTTAATTTCACAACTGCTTTTAAAAGTTGTGTGTGTAACTGCGATGATCAATCATACTTTCGTGTTTTCTTATTGTTGGAACTTTTGTTCTTTTGTTTGTCCTTTTGTAACAGTGTTGGTGTTTTGTTGTTGTTTGATTTAAGTTTGACCTGGTTTGTGACAAAGCCGTGCTCTCCTCCCTTTCCACATCACTGGTGTTTGCCGGCTGGCTGGTTGGTGCAATCATTGGTGGTGTTTTGTCAGATATCATTGGCCGTAAACCCATTATGCTCGTATTCTGTTTCGCGTGTAGTTTGTTTGGCCTTTTCGCGTCCTTTCCTCATCATTTCTGGCTTTTTATTCTATTCAGGCTCTTGACTGGACTGTGCATTGGTGAGTTAGACATGAGACTGAAGACATCAGTCAGTAAAATACTATAAATGAAACCGTTATTTACCGGCCACCGCTATAAACAGCCCCCGCCTTTTGGTTGTCCGCTAAGAGAGTTCTCTATTGTCCTTACTTCTTTTATGCGGCCACCCAAAATTTAATACACGTAGTTTGGCTTTATTTTGGAAAAGACCATGGTAGATAAGATTCTGAAATAGAATTTAACGCTGATAAAAACATTCAAACACACGTTTATAATAATTGTTTTGACGATTCATGTTTGCTAAGCAATTACCCTGTTCTAGAAATATTTAAAGCACACGAACACCTATTTAGCGGCCAACCCCTATTAAGCGACCACCTCCCATTTCCCCGAAGGTGGCCGCTTAATAGGGGTTCAACTCTGCATGCAAACCTACTGTAATCCCTTACATAGGCTAGCTCGATTACCAGCCGATGTTAGGGAAAGGAGCCCTTCTACTCTGGAAAGAACGTAGATCGGACTCGGGAGAACGGTGGAAATGGAACCTATGCCTTACATAGAGAAAGTTAAATTTTCTGTAATCTCACTCAATATTCTTGTGACGGTTTTTTCAGGGGGAGGGGGCATGGGAATTTACGTGCTGGCAACTGAGTTTGTGGGAAGGAGGCATCGTCACGTGGCTGGTACGTCACTGTGGTACTCGTGGACCTTAGCTCTCGTAATGTTAGCAGGTCTGGCGTATGGAGTGCGTGACTGGAGAATTCTGTCAATCATCTGTGCCGCGCCTGGTTTACCTTCTATTTTAGGTTGGCGGTAAGTGACTAGTGAACAAGTTCCATCGGTACAAAGAAGTCACGTTATTTAGAGTTAGTTTGGCCAGGTAAAATATAACCTTTAAATTAAAGTAAACCTGAAAATAATAGTCTGCTAAGATAGAAAAACTCTATGGAGATAATTATAAACCATAAATGAACAAGGATGGTTAAGGATGGAAAAGATTGACACGGATTACAAACGATGAACTTGAAAACTTTACGCTAAACTCGTTAAGATGCGCAAACCGTGACGTAGCTCTTTTAATTCAGGTTTATTCCAGAGTCATCAAGGTACTTGCTGCTAAAAGGAAGGGTTACAGAGACAGAGGATGTGCTGCGAGATATCGCTGCCACTAACAAGAAGGAATATCCGGACGAACTTCTCTACAACCCGAGTGCTGATGGGAAGGTACAAAAAATGGGAGACGTCAGAGATTTGTTTCGAACCAAGAAAATGTTGCACAGGACTGTTGTCTCTTGGTATGCCTGGTAAGTTAAAAAAGAGGCAAAAGGGGGACGGGGGGGAGGGGGGGAAAAAGTAGTGTAATGTAAGTGGAGTAACTATAACCAAGTAAGTAGTGTATAAATATTGTATTATAATTGTAGTAGAAGTGCCGTAATGTAAGGAATGTAACGTGATGTAAGGTATTTCGTGTAACTCTCGTAATGTAGGTCATGTAAGTAAAAAAAAGAAAAACAAAAGAGTGATAGTAGAGGGCGTTTTCTTTTCAGCCTTGATGCATATCAACAGGTGTTTGGCTAGCGAAAAAGCCCAGCTTAAAAGAGAGCGACAAAGATTTTAATTCTCGCCCTCCTCAAAGCTGAAACTTTCATGTGCTCCCGGCAACTTTGAACAGGGGCCCAGGGCTACAACACGAGCGTGACTTCCAGTTATGTCAATATCCAAAAGACATTTTTACAACGATAAAAAGCTAAAAATATTTCTTTTCTTCCGCAGGTTTGTAAACGGCATGGTTTACTATGGTGTTTCATTCAGCACTCCGACACTTGGTGGAAACATGTACCTGAATTTCTTCCTGGCCTCCATTATCGAGATTCCCGCCAATTATGTTGGTATCTGGGCCTTGGGCAAGTGAGTGGTGCCTCTGCGCTAACGCTTTTGGCGGGAAATTTCTTTTAAACTAAGTTATTTCTTCATTGGAGCGATTTTCATTTAATTGTCGAAAAGTAATTGGTTTGGCATCAGCTACGCGACACGATTGGCTTAAAAAACTCGCGCCACTTTTTCGTCCAATCAGAAGTAAACCGAAACCAATCATGACCCGTTCGCACACCTTTTCCCGCGCCTTTCGTCAGCCAAGTGTAATTTCTTCGAGGTTTGATTGGTTCACTGGATTGTGTGCGTCCTTTGTGATTGGACAGAGTAATGATGACTTCGGTTTTGGTTTTACGACACCCAATTGTAAACCGCCCTAGCAGTCGGGTTTCACCTGTTGCTTCACGCCGGAGGTTTTTCCCGTTTTATCAATAGTTGTAGGTGCTAATGACATTATCTGCTCTAGGTTCGGCCGAAAAAGGCCGCTGGTTTATTGCATGATTATTGCTGCCATTGCCTCTGCCGGCGCAGTGTTGTTTACAATGTATGACCCCGGTGAGGACAAAGGTAGGTTGGTCCCGATCCATTTGACTGTAACTTAAAAAAGAGCCAAGAACAGAAGGAAAAAATCCTTCAATTACATTTTATTGACAAGTAGTAAAGTTAACTGAGGCTTCCATTTTCAAGCCAACAAACTTCTTAACATGACGTTTATCCATGCGGTGGTATGATAAACTGTATTACGTAACTGCACTGATTTTATTGTTGTCTGCAGGTTTCATGGTTGGCCGTATTATCATGGCATTGTTAGCCAAGTTCTTTATATTCATTTCATTCGATGCCGTGTATGTGTACGCTGCCGAGCTCTTTCCCACAGTCATCAGGTATGGTTTGATCCGTGCTTCATATCCCGGGAGGGGGAGGGACTCCCACATGAACAGTATAAATCAAGGATTCTGGTCTCACATAGGGGTTCAAGACGAAACGCCAGTATTTTTAGCTGCCAAAGTATCTTTTAGAGCGCACTCGAAGAAATAATGATAAAAACGCTCTTAATTCTGTTTTGAGGCTCGATTTCCGCAGGTCTCTCGACTCCGGTCTACTAGCGCGGGCTCCTTTTTTGAACAGCGGCTGGTAATAGACTATTCCGTTTTAAGTGGTATCTATGGGTCAAATAAAGCTCAAGCCACACCCAGATTGGTTGCCTGTAGGGGTTTAATTCAAATTTCCGACGAGCCTCCCCGGCCTATGGGAGTCCCCCCCCCCCC